TATATATATATATATATATATATATATATATATATATATATATATATATATATATATATTTCATTTATAGTCTATGTTTTAAGTTTTTTAAGATGCAAAGTTATCAACAATTCTTTAATCAATTTCTTCTGTTTTTGTTTAACTGACAATATAACTAATCAATCACATGAATAAAAAGTTCTCTTTTAATTTTTTAAATAAGAATCTTGTAATTTTTACCTTAAAATATGAAGTAATTATTTATGAAACTAGCCATAATCATACTGTTAATAAAAAAAGGGACCCCAAAAATATGGGGCTTAAAGCCATGGCCTTAGTGGCTTTGGGCTTGAGCCGGCACTGATCTCAAATACCATGTATTAAGGGTCGTTTAGTTATCAGGATAAGAATACTAATCCCAAAATAGAATTTGAAATGTAAGTATCTCATGTTTGGTTATAAATATTAGCTAATACCTATATAAATTTTATGTCAAAATGATGATATCCCAACCCATATAGTAATAAAGCTGATTGGCACAAGGTACTTGACCTCTCTTTTCTCTCTTATCACGTCCTATTATCATTTCCATACTACACATGGATAACAAAAAATCGATCATCCATTTGGAAAGAGAAGGATCTACAAGGTTTCTTCAATGAAATAACTTTGTCCTAAATTCTCTACTTTAAACAAAATCTCAGATGATGGACAAACGCTTAGACAAAAGGAAGAAAAGAGATCGAAGCATTAATTGCTCAAATTCGTAAACTTTTACACAAAAACTAGTATTTAATCGACAATATTATTAAGTTCAAATCACTATAAATGTTAACATGTACATGTAATATTAAATTGAATCAAAACCAAAAGAAAAAACCTAATAAACATCGTAATATTTACAGTAAATTTGCTCATGTGACAATCTAACAGGGCACTCATGCAGTACCCACAAAAAAAAAAAAAAAGATAACTTAAATCCCTTAAAAAGGGGTCTTGACTTCTTATACATCTTATATTCTTATCACTCCGCTTCTTAAAGTAAACAAAATTGTGAAAAAAATTGGTAAACTATGTGTAAGGCTCAAGCTGGAGAGACAGAGGTAAATCCAAATTTATCAGATAACTTAGTTCTTGTCAAAGGTGAAAAATGCTCCATTTGCCGAATAAATTGCACGTCGTGAACCAATGGATTATCTGTTCTCCCGGGGGGAGATCCTGAGTAACATGATGGCGATTTTCTTCCATCTCTTGTCTGCGTTCATACATTCTCTTGTTAAAAATACAAATAAGAGAAATCTCCTCGTATTCAGATTCAGACATTTCAATTATAGAGAAAAATCAAATGGTAACATAATCGACAATTTTAGGGATATCCCATTGATAAAGCAAATATATATATCAAACAAAAAGACTTATATATATATATATATATATATATATATATATATATATATATATATATATATAGATATTA